TCTCTCTCTCACACACACACACACACACACACACACACACACACACACACACACACACACGCATACACACACACAGGGCCTCGCCACAGCCAAAACGAAACAAACTACGGGCTGCGCACCCGTTTCCTCACGGTAAGTCAATGATTGACCTTGAAATGTCTCAGGGGGGAAAATGCAACCCTGACGGGCTGCGAACAGTGTTGCGTAAATCTACCCATATTGGGGAGGTCCTGGAAATTGCCACAAAAACAGCTATAATGTTGGCCTTGGAGGCCAGCCGGCAACTTCTGCCCCTGGGCTACCCACCCTTGGCCTCCCTATCTGTAGCCCCTTTCCCGATTGTTCCCCCCCCCCCCCTGCTGCAGTGGCGCCAAATTGCCACAAAAACAGCTATAATGCTGGCCTTGGAGGCCAGCCGGCAACTGCCCCTGGGCTACCCACCCTTGGCCTCCATATCGGTAGCCCCCTTGCCAATTGTCCCCCCAACCCCACCCTCCTGCAGTGGCGCCAACATTTCACTGACGACGTTCGATCATGATCGGCCGATTGATGATCGAAGGGCCACCAAATTCTCTGCAAAAGAACAGAACGAACGCGTGGATTTGATGCTGTGACCGTTGGAAAATGTGAATCGTTGCGTGAGCGCGCGAGGCAGGTGGGGGTGGAGAGAGAGAACGAGCGCGAATTGATTGTGGATTAGGAGAGCGGGGTTGGACTCATTCCCGTTGTTTTTTTAGCCGCTCATCGCGGGCCAGCCTTTTTTTTGTAAAAAACTACTTGATTGACTTTGATTAGAAAGCACAAAAACAAAGCAGTGGGTAGAAAGAAGGCGCGTAACTTGTGGCGCGCATGTACTGGATCGGCGGGCAATCTGCGTCCCACGTGGTAGAATCATCAGATTGTGTCCGACGTGGCGGGCAATCTGCTCCCGACGTGGCAGAATCAGATTGTGTCCGACGTGGCAGGCAATCTGTCTCCATCTGTCGCCACGTGTGTCGGGATGGACGATCATCACCTTCTCCCGTCCGAGGATGATGACGATCCACGGCGACGATGACGCCAAGTGTGTCGGGATCGCCGCTAGTTCAAGCCAAGCGCGGGAAAACGCGTGTCGGCGGGGGGGGAGGAAAGGGGGGRGGGGGGRGGAGGGAACCGCACCTGCCCCTTCCAGCTCCAGCTCCCGCGCGCTCAGAGAGCCGCACACAGGCAGGCGGACAGGGAGGGAGGAGGCACACATATCGAGAGCCACAGATAGACGCGTTTTCCCGCGCAAACGTGTTTGTGCACAGAAAGGGCCACACGTGGTATCATCCCTTCTTCTTACGTATATTGCCCATCCGTGCGCGTACACGTCAGCCAGTCATTATTTCAAGAGAAGTAATATGGCTGACGCGCGGGAAACTTTGATTACTTGCGCGATGTATGCCACGATGGCGGTCATCCTTGTCGTGAAGTGGAAGATGAACACCGATGCTTTGCTTCGGAAATACGCTCTACTGCGCGCCGGATTGCTGATTCGGGGGGGAGACTCTCGCAGCGACTCTCAGAATGTGCTCACCAACATGCAGTCTTACCTGCAGACGTACCTCAAGTCCAATCTGCAGCAGACTGCGGCAGCTGTAGCTCAGTTCAAGTACATGATCGACAACGCTGCTGCAACAGCAGTCGGAGCATTGGTAACATGAGGCGAACTCTCCCATCCTCCCTCCCTCCCTCCCTCCCTCCCTCTCTCTGTCTTCGCCGCTTGCCCACCTCCTTCCGCATTTCTACCGCCTTTCTTTGTCTTTGGATACCCCTCTCTCTTCCCAACTGTCTTAGTCTGTCTCCTTAACTCTTTTTCTCGGGTCCCGATTCTCTCTCTCTCTCTCTCTCTCTCTTTATCTCTCCCTCTCTCTTTCCCGGTATCTGATTCTCTCTCTCTCTCTCTCTCTCTCTCTCTTTTTCCTGGGATGTGATTCTGTCTATGAACAACCGGAAGACTGTTGATTGACAGTTGGTGCACGGTCTCTGTCTGGCTGTCTGGCTGTCTGTCTTTCTCTTGTTCGTCGCGTCTCCCTCTCCCTTTCTCTCTCTCTCTCTCTGTGTGCCCCCCCCTCTTACCTGCGTAGACACCGTTTCTCCCTACAGGAAGACAAGTATAGTTTATTTTGTTGGGACTTACAATTACCGAACGGCGTTTTTTTTTTTTTTGAACACTTCAGACTATTCCATACTATCTCATAATTCAGCTTTTTTTTTTTTTTTTTTTTTTTAACACGGCATTTTAGTGATTTAAGTGTTTGTATATGCTGGTCCGTACTCGTTTCATCAGATAATACTTACCGTGTTCACTAACCCGTGTTTGATCCGTTTCCTAGGCAACATTTATCATTGTAAGCATCCGATATGTTAGGTGTCTCTGGTGTGTGTGGGGGGGTTTCCTTGCTCTGCTGTATTGCTGCTGTTGCTTGACCTTGGTTTACGCCGGGGTAGCGAGAGTATGCTTAGTGAGACTGTGGTTAGCAAATCGTTTTTTTTTTTTTTTTTTTTTGGTATTACTGGCCCAGTAGATAGTTTTTACTGGGATGAATACGCATTTCTTCTGGGTGATTTGCTATTCCCCTTTGTGAGAGTTCTCTCCGTCTGTACTCTGCTGCCTTCTATACCTGCTGCTGCCGCCGTGTACTGTTAAGGAAGGGAAGGCTCGTGTATTTTCTCCTGCTCCTCTCCCCGACTGGATGTCCCATACCTGGTCCATTTCGGGACCGGATGTTCTGTACCTGGTCCATTTCCGGGCCGGATGTTCCACACCTCTGTGGGATTTCCAGACCTGTAGACCTGTAGTAGTTACTTCCTGCTGTCCTCTTNCAGAGAGACAGAGAGAGGCTACTTCCATCAATAGGATGAGCAAAATCGGAATGAATCTTTCGCCAGAACATGGAAATATACAGCCGTGAAAAAGTGTGCACTAAACGACAAAAAAAAAAACAACGAAACGTTGCACAGCGTCCCAAAAATTGAAAACGCGGAAAACGAAGTGAATTCGAAGCGCTTCCGCACCCTGCAAAGTGGGCCGTGAAAAAGAAAAACAAAAGAAAACGAAACGTTGCACAGCGCCTGTCCCATCCAACCGAAGTGCGGGACTTAGGGATCTCATCAGCCTGCAGATACCAAGACTTCCCCGCCTGTCACCCCAAACAGACTGTCCCCTTCCCGACTACCTGCCTCCGCCGACGGTCAACCCCCCAATCAACCCCAGCCCCAGAGTAGATGCAATAATCTTAGTAGGGGCTACCCTACATCCAGAGCAGAGCCCTCCATTCAGAAAGAACACGTTCATAAAGGAAAATAATTTTAATAAACTTAATGAAATAATAGGGAAAGAAAGTTGGACTGACGCTCGCCAGAATGGAAGGAGCCAGAGCCATAAGGCTCTTTTTTTTTTTTTTTTGGCTGGCGGCCTAGCTCAGTTGGTAGAGGACGTAAGTGAGCATTCAGGAGGTCGTGGGTTTGACTGTGCACGTCATCCATTCAACTCCCCATGGACCCATGCGCTGCTCTTCAGGTTCTCCAGCTGAGATTAGTTTGCTTGCCCCCCCCTGGTTGCTCTCGGATCGGATGCCCTCCCTCCCTCCCTCTCATCCAGCGCTACTAGGGGCCAGGTTCAACCCTGAGGGGGATGGCTCAACCCTGTGGGGCTGGGGCAGCTGGGAACCCATAACTCTCAGCGTCCAACTGTTGTGCAACAAAGCAATATAAGAAAGGAATACTTAATATAAGAAAGGAATACTTAAATACTTAATATAAGAAAGGAATACCTGAGTGCTTAGCTGATAGCTAGTCTGAGTTCCTCCGATGTCGAGCGAAGAAAATAGTGTAGGGTATAAAAAGTTGTGCCCCGCATGCGGCGCAGACAACTTTTTCTTATTAAAAAATAAAAAAATGGGAAAGGAAAAGTGAAAGACATGTGCAAAGTGTCCCGCATCCGCGGAACATATGTTGTGATTTGTCTGCCGCATATTATCATGAGGGATGCCGAGTCCAGTTCCCGGCAAGTGTTGCTCACGGCACGAATAGAGTGGAGCCACCGGGTTTGGAGTTTTTAACAACTTTTTTATGGAGCATCCGACATAAGAACACTCTTGACTCTTGGGAGACGAGGGGGGACATGACGCAACAGTATGAGCACATGGAATCTCATTGTGTGACACCGAAAAGCCTCTGTTTCTTCCTCAAGAATTGCGATGACCACCAGCCATTGCTAAATTCATCTTAAGTGAGCTGTGGAATTGTGAGCTGAGGTGTGGTACTTAAACCGACGGTACCTCCAAGAGGCTTTTTTCTAGTGCACACTAGTTTTTCTTGGTCGTCACGGGCAAGGGACTACCAGGTGCCACTAGCCATTTTGGTCCTCTAGTATAGGGGGTGCAAAGCTTTCCATGGCACCCTGTTACGAGGTGGGTGGGTGCATGGTAGCTGGCTGGGGTACTGCCTGTCTCTTATACACATCTAGATGTGTATAAGAGACAGGTGCTATACTGACTAATAGGTTTAAATTGGAGAGGGGTAAGTAAGGGGTGGGTAGATCCTTCCTTCAGGTTCAATCAGTGCCGTCCGCTCATCACTGATCACGCTCGGGCCTCCCAACCAAAAGAAAGTACAATGAATACTCGTCACGCACTCTGATTCCCGCTCGGGCCTCCCAACCAGAAGAATGATGGAAAGGAGCGGCGTGCGTGAGATGAGAATTCATTGCATTTTTTTCAAATTAAAAAAAAAAAGACTTGCGGGGCGGCCTGTGGAATAGGAACTACTCCGGACTGATGATGCTCCCCAGACTGGAAAAGGGGAGCCTGAACCGTAAGGTTGACTGGATTTTTTTTTTTTTTTGGGGGGGGTGGGGGAGGAATAGACTGGAATTGCGATTTCTCCTGCGTGCGCTTGACCACAATTACCTCCAGGGAGAGGCGGTTACTCGGAGTGTAAAAAAAAAGGGGGAGAATTGGGGTAGTAAAAGGCCCACGCAAAAGAGCCTTTTTGGTCCTTCGGCGGGACATCCGGTAAAATTGGAACGATACAGAGAACGAGAAGATTAGCATGACCCCTGCGCTTTCAAGGATGACACGCATAAATCGAGAAATGGTCCAAACAAAAAAAAAAAAAACGTTTTTTTTTTTTTTTTTTTTTTTTTTTAAATGACCATTTGGCCCACGGGCAATACAGGCGGTCGGATGCAAAAAATCTGGCGGCCGAGATTGAGTCTCGAAGAAGGAAAAGAAAAAGGAGATGCCATTGATAACATGAAGAGGCCGGGGGCAAGGCCCCACTTGCGCAAATTAGGAGATTTCGGCCGTTGATCTTTGCTATCTACGGTCAGCATCTGTTAATTCGTGCAAGTGGGACCTTGCCCCGGGAATACCTCACAAACAACAGGGATGACACAAGAACGGCACTGCTGTGCTTAACAATGACCGCCGTGGTGCTGCTGCTCCTTCACGATTTTTTTTTTAACACACACTTTGGGCGCAGCTGCTCGTCCATTTACCGTTGCTGCTGTTTTTTTTTTTTGTTTTTTTTTTTTGCTGCTGCTGTTTTTTTTTAATGCTGCTACCGGATCCATTTCTCACTGCTTCATTTTGTACTGCTGATCCATTTACCGCTGTCTACCAGTGATACTTACTGCTGCTGATTCTTTTTTTTTTTTTTTTTTGCTTTTTTTTTTTTTTTTTTGTACAAAACACCACCCCTGCGTCAACAGATAGGACTGATGATAAGGGCGTGCACTCGTACCAGTCTTACAGGGGTCTCGAAGTCTATTGGTGGGGAGCTACACCTGGTGGAAAGCGGGGGGTCTGTTTGCTGCTGTTTTTTTTTTTTTCTTTTTTTTTTAATAAAAGAAAAGGAAAGTATGCTAATATATAGACTGCTGCTGGTTCTATTATTACTGGTACGCGATCCATTTCTCGCTGCTCCATTTTTCACTGCTGATTCATTTACCGGGGGGTCTACCAGTGGGGTAGTTTCTACTGCCCGGTTAATAGCTGCGGATGCGAACTGCCCGATTCACTCCTGCTGAGGTTCATGTACTGCTTCTCCCTCCCACGATGTAGTGCTGCTCCATTTTTTTATTTTTTTTTGTTGTTGTTTTGTTTGTTTTACAATCTGTTCTATTTACCGCTGCCCCCTCCGTTTACCGCTGCTGCTCCCTCCATTTACCGCTGCTCCCGCCATTTACTGTTTGCTCCATTGATCCCTGGTCTTCGATTACCGGCCCACTCCAATTTACCGCTGGAGCATTTACGTCTGCGTCATTTTTTTTTTTTCGTTCCCTTCCCCCCCCCCAATATTTACAGCCGCTGATCCATTTGGTCTTTTCCTGCTAAATTCGTTCTTACTGACGATTTTTAAATCGTTTTTTTTTTTCCGGCTCTTCCATTTTTGCTGCTGATCCTTTTGTTGTTCTGGTTGTCCATTTTCTCTGCTGATCTGTTTCTTTTTTTGCTGGTCGTTTTTTTTTTTTTTTCCCTGCTGAACCTAGGCTACCAGAGTGGCCCGGGACCACTTGCCCGGCCGGGTTAAAAAGTAATAAAAGAAACAAAAAAATAAAAATCATTTTTTTTTAATTTTTGTATTTCAAATTTGGTAAAGAATTTCGATGAGACCCTGAGGCAAAAAAATGTGAGTTTAGTTTTCTGCATAACAGTGTTTTTTTCGTTTTTTTATTTTTTATTTTTTTTATTTTGCTGGGACCTTCCCTGGTCATTGCACGGCCGGGCTGCCCACTCAACTAACTCCAACAAAAAACCTAAATGAGATTTGGGAAAGGGTTTGAACTTGATTTTCGGACACTACAGGATTCCGACTCATATTCCTCTGTGCCGCAGAAGAAAGCAGTTATTAGTACTTATTACAAGCTAAATGCATAGAAAAAAAAAAAAAAAAAAAAGAACAAGCTACATGCATAGGATCCTATCCAGATGACGACGGATCTACAAAACTTGTGGGTTTGGGGCTATTTTCCTCCCTGAAAAGACAGCTGAGACTGCAGACTGCAGGGCTACCCAACTGAGTTCTTCAACCAATGTCTATGGAGGTTCATTCATAAGAAAGCACCGCTATGGGAACCCTGGGGACATAAATTTTGTGGATGGTGAAGAGTATGGAACGATAGGAATACCTACCTCCAGATCGAAAACCAAGTAAGCAGGGCCGGATGATGAACGTATACGTAACCTAAAGGTAAGTACCTAACGTAACCCTAGACTGGGCTTTGCGACTTGACGCGCAAGTAGGAGAGGGAGGAAGGATTGCATCAACCCGATTGGAACAGCTCAGAGTATCTGTGACAGACCCGATAGCCTGAAGATTTACTGTGGATTCCAAATTTTGGAATTGACAACGGATAAAAGAGATAAGGGCCGAGAGAACTTTGCAGAAGGACTGAGAAAGTATCTGAAAAAGTCGGATGCTGGTCTCAATGGCATGCTGGGGTCAATTGCTGTCCATTCATGGAAATGCAGTTGATGATATTCATGAAAAAAAAAAAAAAAAAAAAAAAAAAAAAAGAGATATGGGCGGAACTAGAGAGATACGTAGAAATCTGAAGTACGGAAATGAAGGCCGGGCGAAAGGAGGAAATTCAGGAAAAAACGGTTAAGTACAAGGTTAGCCTTGATTCCAAACTTCAGATTTTTTTATTTTTTTTTTTAAATTTCGGATTTTTTCAACGGTTAAGAAAGACAAGGGCCGTACTGGAGAAATACAGAGATAAGGACCGCACTGGGGAGTTAGGTAGACTGAAGATTTACTGTGGATCCGAATTTTGGAATTTACAACGGATAAAAGAGATAAGGGCCGAACTAGAGAGATACGTAGAAATCTGAAGGACGGAAATGAAGGCCTGGCGAAAGGAGGAAATTAAGGAAAAACGGTTAAGTACAAGGTTAGCCGTGATTCCAAATTTCGGATTTTTTTCAACGGTTAAGAAAGACAAGGGCTGTAGTGGAGAAATGCAGAGATAAGGACCGAGCTGGGGAGTTGGGCAAAAATCTGAAGTACGGGAATAAAGGGCCTGGCGAAATGAGGAAATTCAGAAAAAAAACGGTGAGTACAGGGGGTTAGCCTGAAGATTTTTTTTTTTTTTTTTTTTCAATGCCCAAGGCTGATATTGCCAATAAGAAAATTGAGGCCGGGGTCCTCACAGTCTACCCGGAGTGAGATCCAATGTTGATTCCGAATTGGGGAAAGAGCAAACGTGGGGAACTCGCATTCAGAGTTATATTGGATTCTATATTCATATGATTGCATCTGGATCCGAACTTGGGTCTGATTCATATTTCAAAATCAGTTCATGGGTGTGTTCTCAACTGAGATGGGCTCGTCAGTGCGGGACTTGCATGCGCCAGAGCAGTCATCTCTTTTCTCACGTCGCTCTTTCCCTATCTTATGATGCCGCCGTCTATGTTCCGCACGTGACCCTCTGTCCACTTTTTGCTCCCTCCTCCGCCTTCCCCATCTCTACCTTACCCATCAATCAAACTGGTTCGCTACGTGTCTGTCCATCTCTCCCTCCTGCTACCTCTCCCTCCTCACGCTCTCCCTCCTGCTACCTCTCCCTCCTCACGCTCTCCCTCCTGCTACCTCCCCCTCCTCACGCTCTCCCTCCCTCGCCTTACGCGAAGTTGTCCCCCACGTTTGCTCCACGTTGCCCCTATTATTCCCCCTTATCTTCGCCCCCTCTTCATCTGCCTTGGCGTTTTCTACAATGTCCTTCGCCTCTCCTCTCGCCCTCCCCCCTCACGCACCGACTCGTCCTTGGCCGTCATCGTTGACAGACAATGCCAGTCTTGCATCCCACCCTATCGCTCTCCACCGCTTATTCCCTTCCTCCCCTTCGTTTCCCACGAATTGTTCTTGCCCCTTCCCTATCTGTTATCTCTTTTGCTGCTTTCCCCTCTCTCTCTCTCTCTCTCTCTCTCTCTCTCTCTCTCTCCTCGGCAGAATGCTGGTACAGATTTGTTGTTTGTTCATTCGAGCAGCGTGGGTTCAGTTCTCGCTTCTCCTACCTTCTTTTCCCGAATACAACGTGCGGTCATTATAGCTGTATTTGGGGTATCTTTCCGCCCAAATACAGGAGTAATGACCGCACGTTGTATTCGGGGGAAGAAGGCTAGTGAAAACCATGGAGGGTTTTGTGCCGATTTCATGCTGTTCAATAACGTTTCATCGTTGTCAATGGTTTCCTATGATCGATCACTTTCCCTGATATGTTAATTTTCGATGATTGCATGATCTTCAATGATTGGATGATCTTCGATGATTGCATTATTTTCCAATGATTGGATGATCTTCGATGATTGCATGATTTTCAACACACACACACACAGAGAGAGAGAGAGAGAGAGAGAGAGAGAGAGAGAGAGAGAGAGAGAGAGAGAGAGAGAGAGAGAGAGAGAGATGTGTCTCACAAAGAGAAGATCTGTGCGTGGTCGTATATGTCCGCGTGTACAGTCATTGACAGGAGGACTGCTAGACGAGGAGCATGGTAAAGGGAATGACACGTCCAGTTCCTCGAAAAGAAAAGGTGTGTGTGACCTTCATTTTTTTTGCTGTTTCATTCTGTTGTGCATTTCACAATCTTCTAGCACACAAATCGTTTCGCAATCTTTTCACACTTTTGACACAATTTTCTCACTACAGTCTTTTCACAATCTTGTCACACAATCTTGTCACAATGCACCATTCCTTTCATAATCTCTTCACAGCAAAGCTCGTTCGTCCTACCTAATCTTGTCACACAATCTTGTCACCCAACCTTTTGTCACAAACGTATTATTATCACACAGTCTTGTCTCAGTACTTTTCTGATTGGCTGATAAACAAATATCTTTATACGTAATTGATCTTTGTTCATTCATGAACTAGCTCCAAGTGCACTCAGAATGCTGTGCATTGGAGCGAGCCAGGCCCACTCTATCAGTGTGACCAACTGCGGCTTATTAGCTGCAGAGACCATATACTCACAGTCTCACACTAACACTTTCTTCAATGCATCGAACTGCACATTAAAAAAAAAAAAAAAAAAAAAAAAAAAAAAAAAAAAAAAAAAAAAAAAAAAAAAAAAAAAAAAGAACTGCACATTTTGTCCTCGATTAGAAAGCATGTGCCGAATTGTTGGGGTCAAATGTGCATGCTGCGCCCAGGGCGGATGGCCTGCTACCGTCTTCACCCGAATAGAACGCTTGGTCAGTATATAGCTGTATTTGGTGCAACTTTCAGTCCAGATGCAGTCATAATCACCGGGCGTTCTCTTCGGGCGAACAAGGTAGTGTGAGTATGGCCTACAGTTCGGCGTACATTCTAATAGACTAGGCCGGATTGGGTGTGGGTGTATCAGAGAGAGGCACCCCTTTGTGTCAGAGATGTACAACTGACCCTGTAGTTGTTGAGGGGGTTAACCAAAATGGGTCTCGCGGTGCCGCTGCCGGCAAAACTCTGGGACTGGTACCCAAGAGCCTAGCTCAGTGGGTACACCCATGAACTGTTGAGATACAGACCTGTGTTCGAATCCAGATGATGATGGAACTTGATTGATGAGTAAAGCCAACTACTAATGAATTGCCTGGGGCCGGTCAGCTGAATGATAATATCTCAAGGCCTGTCTCTTATACACATCTAGATGTGTATAAGAGACAGGTCATAATCACCGGGCGTTCTCTTCGGGCGAACAAGGTAGTGTGAGTATGGCCTACAGTTCGGCGTACATTCTAATAGACTAGGCCGGATTGGGTGTGGGTGTATCAGAGAGAGGCACCCCTTTGTGTCAGAGATGTACAACTGACCCTGTAGTTGTTGAGGGGGTTAACCAAAATGGGTCTCGCGGTGCCGCTGCCGGCAAAACTCTGGGACTGGTACCCAAGAGCCTAGCTCAGTGGGTACACCCATGAACTGTTGAGATACAGACCTGTGTTCCTGTCTCTTATACACATCTAGATGTGTATAAGAGACAGGCCATATTCTTCTCTCAATTTCACCTCACTCTACCTACGTACCACTACTACTAATTGTAGGCATACGGGGAACCCCGTAGCAGCCAGAACAGTGTTCACGAGAGAACATGCGGGGGCTACTCCCGACCTGCAGGTGGGCAATATCATCAGGGACCATGCCAACAGGACCAATCCCTGTGCCTCTCCTCAGGTCCCCTCCCCTATGAACATCAGCAGACTCTGCTAAATGCCAATCGGGGGATCCAGTGGTCTATCTCTAGGTGGCGGGCGCCAAGCATGCCCAGGAAGACACATGAGGCCAATGGGGATTGAACCCACGACCTCCTGAATGCCACTTGCGAGCCTTACCAACTGAGTTAGGCCGCTGGATCAAACGCCCTATCTCAGCTAACCTACCACGCTAGCAAGAAATGCCCAAATACCAAAATATCAAAACAAAAAAAAGGTATTTTGGCTCCTTTGTGGTTATAGAGGAAATGGGAAGTCTTCTGTTGTGTGTGTGTGTGAGCTATGCCAGGATGGTCTTCAGGTTTTACTTGTGGTAGCTTTTGTTTTGGAGATCTGAATCATAACAGTGTGTTTGGTAGGGATTGAAATTTGTGAACAGTGTGGCAGGTAGGGGGGGGACTGACATTTTGGAATGATAGGGTCAATCTGTTTTTGTGGAACCAAGGGCTTTTTAAATGACCAGTACGTGCCTCACATCGGCCGCAGGGCCGTGTCAGAGGCCAAAAAGAGTCGCTGGCCGCAGATTTCCTTTATCGACGGCGCACTGGCGCTGACTTTTTCTCCGCATAGGCGACAAGTGCCTTTTCAGCAAGGCTGGGGCCGTGTACTGGCGGTTTAAACCACCCGTACCTACTGCGTTTCAGGCGTTAATGTGGCGGAGGCTGACTCATTGCGCTGCGCGGGTCGAGATGCAGTTGCGTCAGAGGGGTTCTAACTTCGAAGACCCCCTGGGGTACTGGTGCTTTAAACCGCCAGTACATCTGGAGAATTTGAATGAGCCTCTCCGAAAAGTTATGGGACTCAGGACAGGAGCCTGCCTGGGGGGGCGGGTGGAACTTTCTTTTTTGTTCAGAGCTGGGCCTAGTTGCACCCCACGGCATGGGACAACGTTTGTTTTCTAGTGGCCCTTCGGACGCCCTGTCCCAAGCCTCCGAAATTTTAGGAGAGGCTCAATCGGATTCTCACATTGGCTGGGGTCATGTACATGGGGCAGGGCAATTTTTGTTTTCTATTGGCCCTTCGGACGCCCTGTACCAAGCCTCCGAAATTTTAGGAGAGGCTCAATCGGATTCTCACCTTGGCTGGGGTCATGTACATGGGACAGGGCGTCCGAAGGGCCAATAGACTGGCCCTTCAAAATTTTAGGGGAGGCTTAAAGCCTTAAACCACGGTGACAGGGCGTCCAAAGGGCCAATAGAGTCGTTTAAGCAGTTGAGAGGGGTTATCTTTTCAGAATGGTATGCGTTTGCAGGGACGGGGTCACGGGGTCTTATTTATTGGTGTTTTTTTTTTTTTTTTTTTTTTTTTTTTTTTTTTTTTTTTGGGATGTGGGAGCTGAGGGACCTCTGCCTGTCCTAGTAATTCTGTATTGTGGTGTATGCAAGCCTCAGGCAGCGCATCCTTTGGAATAGAATTGTCCTCTTGGGGGAAAAAAGAAAACTTTTGGGGGGGGGGTAGGGAAAAAGGAAACTAAACTTTTGGGGGGGGGTAAAGATTGTCCTTTTGGGCCAAAGGGAAAAAACTGTACATCGAATACGGACCATGGAGGTGTTTATTTGTCGTTTTCATTTTCATGGGCCCGTTTGGGACCTGCGCTGGTCTCATGTTGTGGGGGGGGGGGGGCGCTTGAGCAGACCTATTTCTTTTTCTTGGGTTGTCAAATTGTTAATGAACTTAAATGAAGTAAAAATTGAGATGTCTGGCCGGTATGTTTGGGTGTGTGTACTTCCGCCTGGCGATTTTGCAGTGCCGAAGAGAGGAAGGGGCGACGGACAGACCAAGAGAATGAAACGCCGGAAACGGAACCCGGAGGTGCCGAGGCAGTTGAAGATTGTGCTTGATGCCCTCGGGAGCTTACAGCCTGGTTCGGGGTCAGGATCGGCACCAGGGCAGACGCAAACTGAGGAGCACGAATTGGAACAGACTACGAGGGACGGAGTGGAAATGCACGATCCATCTTCAGGAGGTCAAGGTGCACCTGGACCTGAAGCTGACCTATGTTCGTTGTCAGACCGCCCACAAGCTGGTCAAGCAGAGGGTAAATCTGCTGCAGCTAGAGCCGGAGGAGGAAAAACGTTAGCGGCTGGCGTAGAACATGCGTCGGGAGCAGCAGACCTCCCACGGACTCATGGCGTCACTGGCATGAAATCTAGTGGTGAAGCCTCTGCATCCCGCGGGAAGAGAGCTCCCGCTTCTTCGGCTGCAGGTTCTGAAGATTCAGGTCAAGTATAGTTTTCTGCTGCGACATCTCTCTCTCTCTCTCTCTCTCTCTCTCTCTCTCTCTCTCTCTCTCTCTCTCTCTCTCTCTCTCTCTTGTTCAGCGTTGTTGTTTTCATAGGCATTCTATTCTTAGTGTAGATGCAGTCCTCATGGCCCGGTGTGCCGTTTTCTTAGCTTAGTGGCAGTCCTTTTTCGGCCATTTGCTTTTTCCTTTCATTCTTACGGCGACGGTAATCATGGTGTTCATGGAGCGCGAGTTTCTGTTTCACTTTTCGTCTTCTTCTTCTTTCTTTCTTTTTTTTTTTAATAAGTTTTTTCCCTTTTGTTTCTCTCATCAGAGTCTCTTCTGGTAGCCTTGCTGCAGATGGTAGCAACCTGCTGGATAAGGAAGGACGGCCCGGATTTTGTCGGAAAGAGGACGGTCCCAATTTCGTAGAGGAAAGGATGGTCGTGATCTTCTTATTGAAACAAAAGAAGGGTTCAGATTTTGTGTAGAACATCTGGAGAGGGACTAGGTAAAACATCGTGTTCCTAGAATCGGTACTGCGCCGTCCTTGGTGTCCTATTTTCTGCACACACAGGCGGCGTTTTCATTGGGTTTATCGAATTCAGCGGATCAAGATTCGTCAAGTAGTATAGAGTATTCGTTCCTCATTTGGCAATTCCGCCGCCTCATGCAGAGGCCTCTTGACAGGTGAATTTCTGCGTTGAAGCCCTCCCCACTGCTCTGTACTTTCCCCCCTGCATGCTCTTCGAAGTCCTTAGTCCTTCCCCCTCTTGTGTACTTCCCCTCTGTATGCTATTGCAAGTCCTTAGTCCTCCCCTCTCTTGTGTACTTTCCCCCTTTAGTCCTCCCGGCTGCTGTGTGTATTTTCCCCCCTGTAGTTTTGCCTTTAGTCCTCCCGGCTTGTGTACTTTTGCCCATTTAGTCCTCCCGGCTTGTGTACTTTTGCCCCTTCAGTCCTCCCGGCTTGTATACTTTTGCCCCTTTAGTCCTCCCGGCTTGTGTACTTTTGCCCCTTTAGTCCTCCCGGCTTGTATACTTTTGCCCCTTTAGTCCTCCCGACTTGTGTACTTTTGCCCTTCAGTCCTCCCCGGTGCTGTGTACTTTCCCCACTGTATGCTATTCCAAGTCCTTAGTCCTGCCTCCTTGTGTACTTCCCCCCTGTATGCTATTCCAAGTCCTTAGTCCTCCCCTCTCTTGTGTACTTTCCCCCTTTTAGTCCTCCCTGCTGCTGTGTACTTTCCCCCCTGTATGCTATTCCAAGTCTTCCCCTCTTGTGTACTTCCCCCTTGTAAGCTATTCCAACTCCTTAGGCCTCCACCCTCTTGGGTTCTTCCCCCCTGTACGCTATTCCAAGTTCTCTCTCCTCCTGTGTACTTCCCTGTATTGTATGGCTCCCTATTCATATTTAAGTTAGGTTTTCTGTTCCGGAATGTCGAGAAATAGGTTCTCTCTTTTTTTTTTTTTTTGCCTTGTGGGCCGCTCCAGATATTGGTGGGGAGCCTCACCTGCTGGAAACGGGGTCCGGCATCCCTTGAATACATCCTTGAGTACATCTTTTTTAGGTCCATCTGAGAATTCCATCATCTTCTGCCAGCATTGATTGCGCTGAGAACAGGGGATTAACTGAGCGGGAAGATAAGTAACCAGAGAAGAAACAGTTTCGTCTACCGCCTGTTAGCTGCAGGATCGCTGTGCTGTTGGGCGGTGCTTGTCCTGTTGGCGTCATCAGGGTCTCTGTGTTCCTGCCACGGCAACCTTCCTCAGCCCAAGCACCTCTCTGTGCCTCAAAACCGACTTGTGCTAGCCGTGTTGTGCCTCGTCTGAGGTCCGTAATTTGTTTGTTTGTTTGTTTTGTTTATTTTTCCTCTTGGAGGCAGGGTGAGGCAGCGTGTCCTTCCTGTACCCATCTGGTGTTTTGCTTCGAGCTTCTCACGTCTTTTGGCCTCCAATTTGTTGTGCTGCTTGTGCGTATTGCCACCCCTACCCCCTCGGGGCAACGTGGAGTTGGTAGGGAGCCATTTGGTCTTGTGGCATACAGAACTGTCCTCTTCTTCGCAGGCCCTACCTAATCCACCTGGTCGCCTCATCAGCTCTCTCTGTTATAGAATCCTTCATTTTGCCCTATTGTCTCTGCTATGAGCCTAGCTCTATCATATTCCCCTATCTTACCTCTATCTCACCTGCCTAGGCAACCTGGTCGCTTCATCAGCTCTCTGTTATAGACCCTTCTTTGCCCTATTGTCTCTGCTATGAGCTTAGCTCTGTAGTATCCCCCTATCTGACCTACCTGATCCACCTTATTGCTTCATCAGCTCTCTGTTATAGACCCTTCCTTGCCCTATTGTCTCTGCAATGATCTTGCACGTCCAAGTCCGAACCTGATGGCGTATCTGTCTAAGATTTGCTGACAGATTGGGAATGCCCTTCTTGCCCTTTTACCGGATGTGTATGGGCAAGGCAGGGCTTGGAATTGTCAGAGTGACAGTCGTTTTTTTTTTTTTTTATTATTATTATTATTTTTTATTTTTTTTTTTAAACAGGCCCTTATGGTCCTGGCTCCATTTCCATTCTGAGCGACAGTCGTTTTATATGGTCTGACAGATGCGGATTGGGCGACCTTTTTGTGTTGGTGCATTGTGGTGGTGGTGGTTGGGGGCGGGGAACCGTGGAGAGTGGAGAGGGGACATGCTGTTTTGAAGTAGTAGTGACAACAGCAACAGCAGCAGCATCAGTAGCAGTAGCAGTAGCAGTAGCAGTGGAACAGGGCCAGCTGAGGTATAACGCTGGTGTGCACAGGGGCGGTTATTCTTGGTGGTAGTGGTGCCAGCAGTGGAACGACAGTGGCAATAGCAATAGCAATAGATAGCATCAGTAGCAGTAGCATCAGTAGCAGTAGCATCAGTGGTAGACATAGTTATCAGCAGAAACAGAAGCGGTCTGTCCTCCGGGACATTCCGTTGAAATCGGAACGATACAGAGAATGAAGATTAAGTATGGCCCCTGAGCAAGGATGACACGCATAAATCGAGAAATGGTCCAAATAAATTTCAAAGAAGAAGGGGGAAAAAAAAACAAATTAGAATCGGTCTCAAACACTGGCCATCGCTTTGTGTTTGCCAGCCTCAACTGGCCGGTGGTACTTGACCATCCATTGGCAAGATTGATGCTGGTCGCGTTTTGAGCAAGGGGTCATTAGAGCCCCCCCCTGTATGTCTTTTTTATTTATTACCAGGGCTGACATTGTGGCCCTTCGAATGGTTGGGTGGGCGCTTGCGGCGGATGCATCCGGAAATCTGACAATGCATGCCTTTGCGGTTGGGATCCAGGTGGGCACATGTCCATGCGGTTGGGATTCAGTATGGTCTGGATGATTGGATAGCCTCCAATACTATCCCACCAGCTTGTACCATAAAACGACCTTATCAAACCTTGTGCTGTTGTTTTACTCAGCATCTCGAGTTTTTAATCGGGGGACGTGTGTGTATGTGCCAGCAGGGGCAGTTCCTTCTTCTTCGTCTTTGTCTTTGTCTTCGTCTTTGTCGCTGTCGTTGTTTTTGTCTTCGTCTTCATCTTCGTCTTTTTTTTCTTTGTCCTTTTCCCCCCCTTTCTAAAGCTCCTTTCTATTGGTGGGAAGGAGCACCTTTTTTTCCAATTTTAAAGCTCCTTTTTATTGGTGGGTCCAGCGTCCCTGCAAAATAACTTTTCATACCCTACTCAACACATTCCTGCGTTATGGCCCGGGGAACTGTGACAACATTGATTGCTTCCTTTTTTTTTTTTTTTTTTTTTT